TACGACTCCGTCTACTACAACGTGCTCAATACCAGAGTATTCTCCCTCAGTGTTCTCACGGATAAGAACGGTGTCAACGTTATCGTAAGGTGTCTTGTATCCTGCGATTGAGCGACATGGTCGAACATTGGCGAAAAGGTTGAAAGTTCGGCGAAGAGTAAGGTTCAAAGATACATGACCTTTACCGATAGGGGTCTAATGTAGATTAGCACCAGGCGCAGGCGAAAGACTGATAGCTGGGATAGACATACTGCCAAAGGACCCTTCAAAGCGACCTTGTTTCTGTTGATACTCTCGATAGTCTCTGCGGGGATAGTGGTCTTTCCGTCCCGGAGTTGCGGGGTAACGTCAACTGGTTCCCACTTGATCGGTGCCTTTATTCCGTGTCAGAATTGACTCGAGATCCTTCAAGTTTTCTCCTTACCTTGGCGGCTGTGAAGATATCCTTCACGGATTGGGAAATCTCTGGACCGATACCATCACCCTCAATCAAACTAACTGTGTAAAGTCCCTTATGAAATGTCAGTGTCCGTATTCCGAGAAATTCCCATAGTATACAATTGTGCCCCTTCCGTTCCGTTACAAAGTGGGCAGTATTGGAACCATTCTCTGCTGGTTGGGGAAATGCCTTACATCTGATCCCTTTTGACCGTGGAATTGGGCAATCTTGGGTTTCTCGGTAGCATATGTGCGGCGGGCCTGCAATCATAAACAGTAAGCATGTGGTTCGAATGTTGAATATGCAATAGCTGCATGGGAGCTAGAACTAAATATATTCTTACCTGGACAGCGGTTGGTTTCCAAGCACGTGAAGATACTTGGATGCACTGTCTTCGCGCAGGAGCGCCAAAAGATCTAATTGCTAACATACTGTCTGCCAAATGAATTCTCGCCGAAAAATGCAAGAATATATCGGAAGAGGAGGGGAAAAGAGAGTAAACAGGTCCAAATGAGTTTAGGGAAAGAAGATTTGAAGTCGCGGCTAACTTGCGGAAAGTTGCTTTTTTCCTCAAGTAATGGGTTGCTACTTTGGATTCCGCTGTTCCCACTTTCAGCCGTTTTGGCCCGGAACCATTGTCGGCAATTCCCGATTTACGATACTGTACCTAATGAGTATTGATGCTCAAATTATTAATGAATGAATGATACACGTTCATACATTGAATTGAACGCCGTGAAGTAGAACCTCGACAAATTATAATATATTCCATAAAGTCAAGTTCAATTCAGTTCAAATTTGGAATCACAAAGTGGGATATGTAGCGTTGGAATTTAATTTATGAATCAATACCTTTAAATACTTGTTGCGACAATCTCGAATTAAACACGATTCAATATGACGGACATGGAGCGGACCATTTTGGACCATTACCAGCTTTCATCGCCATATCCTATAGAATGGCCGGCGGATAAGGATACAAGTGATGCTTCAGATGAGGAGGACGAAGATCCCAAATCGAACCAAAATGGTGCAATGGCTGCAGCTGTCGCGCGCAGAAAGTCCAAATACTTCGCCCTGGAGAGAGCCAGTGATCGCAAGAGTCTCATTCCTAATGCACAAAAGTCGGGCGATGGGGTAGAGAATTTGGTCCAAAGAGATGAGCAAGATCCTCTCGGTAGCACCGATAGTGTAGTTAGAGTTCTACGGCAGCAGGGTCTACCAGTACAAGACGATATAGCATTGCGTTTGTCTATCCTTCATTTCTTTTCTACTTTCACTGACGGTACTAGGTAACAGGTTCCTCTTGTCATCTACAACATTTTCGCCCGCCTTGTTCCTCTCCCAAGTTCATTCTACTGCCTCTACGCAAGATCTATTACGAGGTTTAGACCTACTGTCTAGATCAATTGACCAAAAGTCCGCTTCCCTTAAGGTCCTCGTTGAATCGAACTTCGAACGCTTCGTGCGTGCCAAAGCCACAATTGACAATGTATATACTGAGATGAAATATCGGGGGGCAGAACCACCCACAGCTTCTCGAGCTAGACCTCATTCCCGCCATGCTAGCAGAAGTAGTTTTCGAGCGAGTAGTGGTAATCAGATTGGAATGACGACTCCGGCACCTGTGGATGTCAGGAAAAAGAACGCATTGATGAAAGAAAGCGAATATGGTGTCCTTGGAATAAAGACTCCTCTTTTAGACGTCTCCGCGAAGGCAGAAGAGGTGTGGGGACCGGCATTAGGGGGAAGAGAGAAGGAGGATAGCCTGAAAGTAATGGCTGGAACCGTTGATCGGTACAAAGAATACTACGAGGTAAATGCTGCTATTACCGATAGTATCAAGCGCAAAGACTATGAAAGTATTGTCGAAGAATATACAAAAGCAAGACGGTTCGCGGATGATGCAAAGAAACTCACCGAAACGCTAGGAAATACACCACCGACTGATCCTCAGATACACCAAATTCTTTTGGCTGCTCGCGTATGGCATGACGTCGAACAGCAGATTGAGGATTTTAAACGTGATGTATGGAAGAAATTATCATTGGCACAAGGTTCAGCTAGAACAGACGGGATTTTCGGCGCTCAACAGGATCAACACATGGAACTTATTGGAATATTACTCGAATTAGGAGTAACAGATAATCCTATCTGGGTTTGGTTACTGAGTCGTTTCGATCACCTTAAGGTCAAAATACAGACAACTTCGGATCGTTCCAAGGTCGAGATTGAAATTTTACGGCGACGACTAGCTAGTGCTGAGAAGCCTACGCCTCAAGTTGTTGCTACTCACTTGCGGTCTCTTGGACGGCAAATAGTAGACAACAAACAAGTCTCGGTCGATTCTCCAGACATCATCGAGCTATGGGAAAAATTGAACTCGTTTCTCCATAGCATGTTCTCTGCACAAGGAATTCTTGGAGAAGTGACAGAATTCTGGCAAACTGTTCAGAGTTTCATTGATGGCAGAGCACAGAAAGCTTTACCAGTAGGTATTAATGGGAAGTCTCGAGAGCATCATCGGCTTTCTGATGAAAACATTATTGAGCTGCAACAAGGAACAGTCGAGTTAGTAGATATGCTTCGGGAAAGTATATACGAGTTGTTTGTTGATCCTCCAATTGAGGATATCTCGGCACTGTTTTCGCCTCTACCACCCACCCCTCGCACACCAAGGACGGCTGATTCGTTGACTCCGTCTGCCCTTCGAGGTTCTCGATTCACATTTGATCCAAACAATCTACCACCTCCATCCCCTAGACGAGGTGAAGCTTGGGAAAAATTTGCTTTCTGGCCACCATGGTCAAACTCAGCCAGTGGAGTCCATTATTTGGCCAAATTCCTTGCGCTTGTAGGTTCCGGTGCAAGTGAAATGTCAGGAGTTTCACCTGTCATTAATGGGGATGGTTCAGCTCTTGAAAGATTAAAGGCTCTTGTTGGAGGAGCCCGTGAAAGATGTGTGACTGCAATACTCGCAGCATGGAATAAAGATGCCGAAAACATCAAAGTTTTGGAAGATTGGAGGCGTTCTCCAGATAAACGAGACCTAACCAGAATGCCAGCCAATTTCAGTGCTTTTGAAAGCGCAATTCTATCGGGCATGCAAAAAATTCTTTACATTTCCGATGCATCAATCAAGCAGGGCTCGCCTGAGATCGTTCTACCTCCGCCAGCCAAACTCTTGCAAATGGTTCGCAGTCAATTCGTGACAACCCTCTATAAAGCATTGAGTGGAATGGTCGAGAATGCAGAAAGATCTGTCAAAAAAGCTGAAGATGACTGGGCCGCCGATACCGATGGTTTGGCGACTCCTGTGGCAATGATTATTGCTACAAGTATGGGTGCTGGAACTGTCGATGCTAGCGATCGCGTAAGTCGAATAACCTATATCCTTTTTGAGAACTGAATTAATTTTTATAGAATGTTCGAATGCTCTTAACTTTAAGCAATCTCCAAGCACTTCGTGTTGATGTCGTTCCGAATCTTACAACGCAGTTCGAAAATGCTTTCTCGGTCAAACTTACAGAGGAAGCCAAGACAATAAGAGACGTCTTAGGGCAAATTGACGCTCGTCTTTTTCAATCTTATACTAAACCTACTGTTGAGACTCTCCGCGATATTGTGCGTCGTGGAGTTCTGGCACCGGATTGGGCACCAACCGAACAACCAAAAGAAGTTCGTCCTTATGTATACGAGGCTCTACTTTGTCTCGTTATCGTCCACACCCAAGTATCTACTACTGCCTCTTCCCTCACCGGTCAAGTTCTCTCTTATCTCTTAGAGCAATTATCCCTGGAATTCTTAGAGGCCTTCAAACAACGTCAGCGATTTCCTCTCAATTCTCTTATGCAAGCTACTCTTGATATTGAATTCGTCGCACAGACTATGAATCAATATACAACAGAGCGAGCAACAGAGACATCAAGCCAGATCTATCAGGAGTTGGATAAAGGAACTGATGGTGAAGCGAGAGCCAGGTTACAAAAAATACTGCCGGGCATGAGAGTAGATTTGAAAAGATTAAGGGAGGCGAGTAAGAGTGAATTTTCTTGCTTCAAGAAGGCGAGGAGTGGGAATAAAGCAGATAGAACTGCCAGTTCTAGTGCGCAAAGTACCGCTTAGACAGGAAGATTAATGAGAAAGTAACCTCTTTGAAAATTGCTCCATCGTGATAGCAACACATGGACCTTCGTCGAAAACTTTAACCAGTGGCGAAGAAAATTCGCAGTCTATTTAAAATCCAAATTTTACAAAAATTAGAGAATCATTGTTATGTTTGCGAAGTTCCTGGATATCTCAAATGCATTGCAGATTCATTATTGATGCCCATCTTTTTTTTCTGACGATTCAAAAATATTGTAATATCTTGATTGCTTGGATACACACGGAGCTTCTCTACTCGTTTGCTAGTACGCATGTATGTATGTTGAATATCATAAGAGCTGCTGGATTGACTAGGGCGTAAAGTTATACTATTTAGAAAATACCGCATACCTTATCCACCTTAATTAAAATTTAAAAACAACAAATACCTCCTCCCCATAATTTGTTCCTTGGACTAGGAGCTCTCACTCACTCTGCCCATTGACTTTTCAACGTTCCCCGTATTCGGTGTCCAAAGATCCAAGAGCTTCTTAACCACATCATCTCCCCTCTTCAAAATAATCGGAATCTTAATGGCATCTTCTTCATCATCGCTATCATCCGAGATTTCACTATCAAAATAACGTCTGCCCATACGTTTATCATTGCAACGTGTTCTTCTCACTCGTCTGTCTCTACTATCATAAGTAGTGTCACTATCGCTCCCTGAGCCACCTGAATCATCGGGATCACCCATGCTCATACCTTTAGCTCTCCCATTGCCTCTTGGTCGTGGTCTGAAGCGATCAACGAAAACTGGAGGCGCTACTCTAGGTTGTGGTGGTGGAGGTGGCGGAGGAGGTCCAGGCATTGGCAGTAGTATTCCGACCGGTGGGCCTGGTCGTGGAGGAAGACCGTTGTTGAAGCCTGGGCGTGGCGGTCCTCGCACAAGCCAATTATAAACCTCATAAGGTTTATACTCTCTCTTGAGAGATCTCCGAGCGATTAAATGCATCATCGTTGCCGTTTGGGCTGCATGACCGCGCGCAGCGAGATCCACTTCCCCGATACTATTGTGAAGACTCAGTTCGACCCAGCACCATTCAAACCTGTGGTCTCGTTCTTTCATTTGAAGATCTTCAAAGATTTTGGTCATATGCGTAGCTTGTTGATCCGTGAGACGGAGTTGAGAGTTGATAACGGAACCTCCGCGTTTGTTGAATGATTCTACGCGAGCGACTATGTCGCGAATTGTGTTGTATTCGTGGGTTATAGTTATCTTGAACCATGTGCGAAGTAGACTGGGTTCGTTAGGCTCGGCTTGTCGAAGCGTATACTCGGCATATGTTGTGAGAGCAACCAATGCTTCAGCGTTGCTGCAGATCTGGGCCTCGCTTGAATTGAAATGTGGTTTAGGGGCCGGATGTGTGGGCGGAGGTGGAGGCGGAGGACTACTAAAGCCTCTGGGTGTTGTCATTGGAGGAGGTCTTATTGTTGGGAGTATAGCAGGAGGTGGAGGCGGATATAGCGTACCTCTAGGAGGAGGGTGAGGAGGAACTGATAGCACTCCAGGGGGTGGTGGACCTGATTGAGAAAACCCTGGAGGTGTAGGTGGCACAGGAAAGTGCTGTACAGAAGTTCCCACAGTTCCACGACGTATTGGACTTATCCTTTTACCATCATCCAGGTGCTCTCGAACAATGGCTAATATGATTCGGCCGTTTGAATTCTGTGGTAAAATAGGAGTGACAGACTTATTGGCAATGAGACGCATCCATACATTGTTTTTATTCTCCTGTAAAACCTTAAGCACCACTACCTCTCGACGCAATTTTGTCTGCCCAAAAGGACACAGAGCAATGCCGAGTGTACTGTGTTCAGATCTTGTCAGGCTGCTGAATGTCTCAAGCCAGCTATTGTCATTCAGTTGGCTTAGAATCGTACGCATGTGCGTGGCTTCCAAGCTGTGAAAGGCCGAGTGAGGGATTGGCCTAATATCGTAACCTTGAATGAGAAAAGCGTCGAGTCCACTTGAAGTACTTTCCAATACTTTTCTCATCTCAGCAGCAAGAGACTCCTTGCTTCGAAAGAGACTTCTGATCTTGAAGCTAAGGCAGTCATGCGGCGACTTAAAGAGTTGACCTTCTGGTACTCGGGGCCTGTTATCGTCAGTACTAGGAAAGTTACAGTCATCAATTCTTCGTGGAACTTACTCCGCGGGTTTCTTCACTAATTGCTCCTTCACCGTCTCAGTTAATGATTCTGCCTTGTTATCTTGGCCTTTCTCATCCGATAATAATTGTGAAGAGGTCGGGGGGTTTGTTAATGGCAATGCTTGCTTCAACGGTGGCGTAGTGGGAACTCTGTGGCTCTCGTATGAGGGAGGTTTGGCCTTAATCATATCAGTACACATACAAAGGTAACTCGTAGAGACTCATATGCTGTGGGTTTTGAAGAAAGAGTTAAGTGCCTGGAAATTCGGATTTGTTTCAGTGAATTTACTCACATGGGGAGTAGTTAGGTCAATAACTCTCGGAGAAGAGGTAGAATTTGAAATCAGCGATCTTGACATGAATGCCACGGCAGGGGGTGGAGGGGGTGGAGCATTCACCCTCAACGAGGGCTGAGAAAGACACCTGTCTACAGGTGGAGGAGGTGGGGCATTGTTTATGACCCTCGATGCAGGCTGAAGACGACATCTGTCTACAGGTGGAAAGGTTGGAGGGGGCGGAGGGCAGTATGTGACGAAATTCGGGCGTGGGTTTCCTCTTCTCCTAGAAATAACCGAGATAGCTTCACTATCACTATCCGACCCACTCAGCGTGTATGCAGAGCTACTGCTGGAACGGAAATTTCGACGCCGACTTGGTGAAGAGCCACAAACAAGATCGAAGGTACGGTTGATACGTTCGTGGTAGAGAACGACCTTTTCGATATCGACTCTTCTAGAAGATTTATATTTGGTTAGTAGTTGCTTTTCGATGGAATATTTAAACTCACAGATCTCCTAGAAGCGAGCCAACGGTAACAACTTGGTATACCAAGAGAAGATGCAATTGGATCTCTTTGAACCGCTCTAGGTAGGCATAGGTATCGTTGTCTACACGATACCACACTGCAGTCTCGAGGTCATTCAAGAACTTTTCCTCATCGAGCTTCAATTGCGTTGGCACCACAGGCGCAATGATATTCTCTTTGGCTTTCTTCGCTGTTTTTCGGGTCTTCTTTCGTTCCACCTTCTGAGCAGCTTTTGTAGCCGTAGGAGCAATCTTATCCAAGACCTTCGCGCACTCTCCTACAAGAAAATTCACAAATTGAAGGCCATCGTCGCTGAAGACGTGATTCTGGGTTTTACCCGCGTCTTCTCGTTTCAGAAGGCCAAGCACTTCGTTGAGCGTACCAATGGTAGAACTGAGAAGGCTAATATGTTCTTCAACGACACTAGGTATAAGATACTCATTCTCCGTAGAAAGCAGTCGATATCTATGAAAAACGAAAGAAAGCCGTCCCGCATAAGCCAAGATGCTGTCTAGGTCCACTACATCTGTCGCTGCAATCTTTTCCATTCTTGCTGTATCTTTCCGCCCAGGAAATTAATGGTCAAGGTGAAATGAGGGAATTGAATGAGATCTTCGAATGGTAAAGGTCGAGTTGAAAGGGGGATTGAAACCCCTAGGCAATCAGAGTAGATGTATGCTGCCTTGTTTCCCCGCTACAAAACTTATCAGAGCGAGGCTGACCGGCCGCATATGCTTCATTGGAGGAAATGGAAAAAAAATGTTATGTCAAGCCACAATCCGACTCAATTGTGGTCATGCAGAGAATCTGCATCTTTTTTGATTGTAGGTAAAGTGTTCTGCGTTGCACGATTATCAATTCAAAACTCACCGACTGAACTCTGCGTAATCGGTGATGGCCATCTAAGAAGCCATCTGCGGATTAAGAGAATAATCATCTTGTCCGTGACATTCTTCGAACCATCTTATGGAAGCAAGTACAAACGCAATAAATTAATATCGCTCTTTCTAGAATTGACCTGTCTCTGACCCTAGCATTTGGGGTCGAAATGTAAATTCTAGAAGAAAAGCTGGACGTTGTCTCTCACAGATGTCTAAATGGAGACTAATGACCATAGAAATATGCCAGCATCCGCAGACCGATCAGCTTACTAAAGTTTCCCTCACAAACAGGGCGATTCGTGTTACATTTCACCACATGGCGAAAATAATCGACCAATACTGACATTGCAAATACAGCGTCATGGATGGATGGATTGACACCGAGTTTATATTTCTCTACACCACTTAAGCATAACCCCAGTCAAACCCTCGACACTGCCGGGGATTTCCTCCAATGCAATATCTACCTTCCACATACGACCTGCAATTCCACCCACTTGTGCCGCACCGATAGCTGCAGATATAAGCAAATCATAATCTACCAATCGTTCCCAAGCCCCCAAAGCGACATCCCTTCCCCATACTTTAGCACTACCTCCTAAAGCTGTAACTCCCGTGCTTGATGTCTGTATCTTATACCTTGATGTCAAGGAGCTATACTCGTCGTAAGCCATTGCGAAATTGCAAGTATCTGTGTCTAGAATAATGTCAAGTCGTGCGGCAGCTATCAGCATAGCGAGTTCCAACTCGGATAAACCCTGAAGGATGTGGAGTTTAGAGTCCGGGGCTGACAGTGCCATGTTAGCCATATTAAATGATTGGCCACGTAATGGAAAGTTCTGCATTGAAAGACTTGATATGGGAAGAATCGAGGAGGTAAAAAATGCAGGCACCGATTTAGAGCGGTAAAAATTTGATTGAATATGATGCTTGAAACTTTTGTCGTTATTGTATAGTTTCTGGTTGCAGTGTTAGTTATATGAGTGTGATAGAGAACATAGGACCTTACCTCGATCATGTTCTGCCAAAATGATAGGAACTCTTTTTGTCCAGGTGTCGAGATATCAAATTCCTCATCATCGTAATCATCGCTGTCAACAATGAGGCCCTGTTTACATACTTCCCAAAATGCTGGAAGACTTCTAGGTAATGATAAATGAACATATCGATGACTAAAACGACTTTTGACTCTCTTTTCTAGACTCTCGACTACATCCACACGGGTGGTTAGACCAAGTACAGCAATAGGCGCTTTCCTGGCCTGTGCTATGTCGAATAAATTATAGAGTAAAGTTTGTCGAGAATGTGTCGTGAATAGGTCAAATTCGTCTAGTACGAAGATAACAGATTTAGCAGCATGGTCTGTCTCGATTTCTGATATCTCCGATGGATGGGAGAGTAAAGCCAGAAGAGAGGCCAAGGTATCAGCATAATTATTAATCTGTATGAAATGTTAACGCAGGCATGATATTAAACCACACAGATCTTTACCTTGCCATTAGAGTCATCTTCAACTGCCATTTCCCTGCCCAACTGTCTCCATATCTCGCGCAACGCTAACCGATCGTCTGTATGGATGAATCCATTAAGTCTAACGACATGGAATTTTTGTCTATGGTCTTTTCCAAGATCCGAAATTACGGTTTCAACCAGCTGCACATGAATTAGCTTAACGTCTAAAAATATCGGTATGGATCTTACGGTAGTCTTTCCAGAACCCCTTGCACCAATAATCAACATAGAGTTACCCTCGCCCGCCACAACTGTTTGTTCGACGAGCTGATGTACCTTATGCATGCCATCTTCATGGCCTTGGATTTTTAGACGTTTCTCTCCGGTAAGGCGATTCAGTAATGCTCTTTGCATTGTTTTCAGATGGGTTTCAAACCCCTCGATTTCGGGAATTTCATTTGAGATTGGACCCAAATCTGTTTCCCCATCGAGTAAATCATGATCTACATCAGAAATGCAAGTTTTACAAAGCCATTCACCCCGAGGCTTCTTGGGAATATTGCCGCAAGATTGGTGAACGGCATAATCACAATTCTCACATAGAATAATCTCGTTTGGTTTCTCTGAATCCAATCCTTCGCAAACAGCACATGATATTTCGTCATCAGAGTCGCTCGAACCATCACTTTCAGCAGCTCTCGCTGCCTCTGCTGCTACTCCGGCCTTTTGACACTTCTTGCAAAACCAATCTCCTTCGGGTATTTTTGGCACACTGTAACACTTCTGATGCACAATGAGCGGGCATCCATCGCAGAATATAATTTTGTTCGGAGCTACCGAATCAGGTTTTGTACAGATCTCGCAAACAGCACCTTCATAATCGTCCTCATAATAACCATCAATCGAACGCGACGTGGATGGTATAGTCTTACCCTGTAGATTCTTGAGGTGTGCCTCAGACTATTTTCTGGTTAGTACACATGACGTTCATATCTGCAACATCGTCCGAGGATAATCAGTCTGCTTCAGAAATGATTGTACCTACCGGAATATCTCTAAACCCCTCTAAATTATCCTTACCAGATTCATCGAATGCAACACTCTTCCTTATTGTCGAATTTCTAGACTTGCTAGGAGTCAGGATACCTTTTGGGGTCGCGGCCGTTGAATCTGCCAAACCATCTATTATCCGCTTTGGCCGGCCACGTTTCGGTGTGCTGGATTCAGGTATTTCAGTGCTCTTTCCTCGAGCCTTTGAAACTACGTCTTTAGAATTAGAGAATCGCGTCGATTGACTCCTGGATGATTTTTTAGACTTCTCCGCAGATTCTATATCTTCATTACTAGCTTCAATGTCCTTATTCTGCTGGTCCTTCGTAGATTCATTTTGGATAGCTTGTCGTGATAATGCTTTCGCCTTCTCAAGATATTCTTTATTCTTAGGCGGTCGCCCACGACCACGTTTCACAGGGGGCACCACTTCCTTTGCTGTAGACTTCGCCACCTTGGTGCTTCTCGCTACCGGTTTGGTATTCGCTTTCCCTGATGCATTTGTATTCTCTTCCTCGTCATCCGTAACCTTAAAGTCGTAGATATCCTTGCCCAATTCGTCTGCACTATCTTCAGTCTCCTTCTTAACGCTCAATCCAAGCAGTTTCTTGAACCGACCCGAGATACCACCAAGCCTGGAGGTAGGCGCATCTACCTTTTGACGTTTCGCTGCAGATGTTTGCGATTTTGCAGGCAGAGGGGATAATTCGTCGGCTTCGTCTGATATACGAGATCTAAGACGCTTTCGTGTACTTGATGGTTCTGGTGGTGGCATAATCAAAAAAGGGCGACTTCAGAGTTTTTTCGTGTCTAGGAAATCATTCATGTCTTTGGCAGGTTTGATGGAAACCAAATGGAGCGGTCGACAATTATAAAGGTTGCTTGGGAGACGCGTCGTGAATTAAAATAACGCTAGCGGCCGCTGTACTACAGGGCCTTTCAAAGGTCATTATCGTTCTCGCCTGAAATTATTGCATGAATGTGTATTGAACATATCAAGCATCATTCAAATCATCTGATGTCTTCAGAACATTGAATCATTTAAGACTTTTTACACTCAATGTCTACTTGTTGCTCCTGTATGTTTCTAACATACTCTCTAATTTCTACGGTGCAAGTGCGCCTGTATCAAGATCGTTCATTCCATACAAGACCTTGAATGGGTTACCAAGTTGTGCGATTCTAAATTTCCACTTCACTGAGAGAATAGCATATAGACAAGAGCAGGGTATCCAGTAGTTTGGATTGACATATTAGGTGTGACTTTCAATATTCAAGATGAGTTCAAAAGTTAAGACCATCTGGGTGTTACAATTAAATTCAGAAGTTGAACGGCTCAGGTTGTCGGACAGCAGTCCTTGATGTTGGAAACCCTGACTCAGATTGTAGCGCAAAACTGTCTCAGTGTTGCATCATGTATGGGCAAATACTACCTTTGTTTGGAAATACGAAAAAGCATCTATATATTATGGCCAATGATTTCTCGCTGTCTTGATGTCCTTATGCAATGAACTGGTCATGAGCAGTGAGGCTGTGATCAAAGAAAATTACTGGTCGATTATCACTATCTAAAGTACTGTCCATTCTATTACCTCCTTTCCTTTCGGTTGTTCCGATCAGAGACAGCGTGAATAGTGAAAGATCTCCCAATCATTGTAACCTTATTTATCCTTCCACTCAAATTCCATGTTGCCGTTCACCTAGTGGCTACCAAGTACGTAAGGTTCAATGATATCCCGCACTATGTGGGTACTATATTGTAACTGTTGAACAATTTCGTGCACTTGGATCACATGATTTGAATCTTTACAGCGATAGTCCTATTAGTTAGGGTGAAAATTATTAGATTAACTTCGTTATGTTCGGCTGAAAGCCATCAAAAATTCCCCAGCCAGGCATACCAGATGTCCATTACATCTTATCATTATGGTCATCTCTCATATCCTTGCGCCATAAGACACTTTGCCCTCGACTACCTCTATAAAATAAACAAATAAACAATTGTGCCAGGACAGTAGCCCTAGAATATTACCTAGGACGAGTAAGCAGGCAAGTCTTTCTCGTCTTCATTCACTTCCCTGACTGTAACATTGAACATATCCTTCACTTTCGCCCCGAACTTGGTCCAAGTACACTTCCCAGGAATGCAGTGACACACACATCCACAATCCATCACATCGTCTTCTCTTGTTTTGTCGCCCGCGTGGAACCCCAACGTCTTGTTCTCTTGATAAAGAAGCAGCTCAAGGATCGATAAATAGATGAAAGTGTCCAATTCCCCTTCAGCATTATCCGATGGTCCTTCTGACGTGACAACATTACACTTATCATACATGTGAAATTTGCCAGAAACCCCGTTGAAACAATTCGGATCAAAAGCCATCATAGCGTACACCCGCAACTCGCCTTTTTTCGTTAAAAAGTATTGCATTGTCGTTTTCTGGTATTTCCATATATATTTTCCCGAAAGTTCCCGACCCTCAAGATATTTTTCAGAAGCAGTATACTTGAAGGATAATCTCTGATGAGTTGAGAAACAGAAGTTTCTGCGCTTCAATCTAATTTGTTTTCCAGAAGCAAGACACATCAGGTATCCTCTGCCCCTCTTGTTGACAGTGAGCCAGGAAGATTCAGAGGATGGCGGTGGTAAAGGGGAGTCGTCCCGTGTAGATGCAAGGTGAATTCCAGAGGCAGGGGCTGCAAGATGCCAGCGTGCTTGTGATTGAGGATTAATGAAGCATTCCACCTTGAGGGCGCCGTGGTAATACGTCGACATCTCTATGAAAAGGTGGTTGGAATTGTGCTTGGGAAGTGCGAAGAGAAATTCGGGAATGTTCAAGTGTGGTAAACCAGGAACCGGGGGAAGAGCGCATCTTTGTTCACTGCGTTCCAAGCTAACTAAGCACTAGTAGTCAAAGATGACATCTATCACATACGTACTAACCAAGTGTATTGGCATTGATCCCTCTAACTCAAAGAGGTTAAGGCTTCTAACTCTGAACACAACTACAGAAGAAAGTTTAAATCAGGCCGCCTTTCTCCGACCAGATCGATTGCACAAGGCTACTCTGATTTTTCGCAATCATTGCCTTGTTGTTAGAGTCGTGTATGACTTATTGAATTGCACCATTCCAGGGTGGGGTCCTACTACCTTGCCAGATTTCGTTTGTAATGTCGGTAGAGAAAATGCCTGCTTCCTGTTTTTCTTCAGACGATCAACCCCTTAAAAAAATCATTCTCCTGCGTCCAAGTTCGATATTCACTGCACTTTCGAGGCCAAGTCCGGGAAACCAAGTTCATTCGATACTGGAATTTGCGCTAAATTTACCTACCGAATCGAACCGTTCATACTCAACGGGTTCAGCGGGTCCGACACTAGACTCTAGCTACTTAGGTAGACGGATCGACATCCGAAAGCTAGACTCAACATATCATCTCAACAACAACAAAAGTAAAGCTAGGTTCAACAACAGGTTTATACCACTTATCAGAAACACCATATCAGAAACGCCCTATCAAAACGGCAATTCCTTATCTCCAGACAAGTCTGTTTGGGTTCAGATGAAACTTGAATGATGAGGGGTAAGCTTGAGAAAGCTAGATTTATATCTGTCTCGACGATGCAAGCATTGGGTTCAGATCTTTGGCTAGGATTGAATACAAGCCTTTGATTAGTTTGGCAGTATCTACCAAGCGCAATAGGTATATGGCTTCTTCGATTGCATGTGAGGATCAGCTTGGACGCTTTACGTACTCCATACCCGGACGATGTGAAAGTAGGGAATAATGAGGGAAACAATTGGGTAGAAAGTGTGCAGCCCAGGTGCTAGCGTATACTTTAAAATAGAAATCCAGCCACATGAACTCAAAAAGTACGTATCGCACTAAGCCATTTTGAGATAAGGTTATTGCCCTATTTCCTATTTCCGCGTGAGAGATTCGACCATCCAATGATACTCACGAAACCTTATTCTCAAATAGGTATAGTGTGACACTAAGTCGTTGAGTTTATGCAGTGTTTGCTTTTTGGTTCCCAAATGGATTTTTCTTCTGATGGCACGATCATCTAGGAAAATCAGCCCAGCCTCGAGGTCGGAGGTGCATGCCGGTAGTGTCGGGACTACAAGCTAGGCTAGCTCTAGTCTATGATTATCAATCGAGTCAACACGCACTAGCTTATGCTAACTTTTCTTAGAGTTTCACGTGGTGAGCAACTTCGATTGCAGTGATGTTATTGACCAAAAGTTGTCGGAAGATTATAGATTATCAGAGCGATTTTTGTCTCACCTGGATACTTGAGAATGATGAAAGATACTGAAAAGGCTAACTTGTTACATTGATTCGTTCCGAGTACCGATACCCATCATCCCATCATTACCATATAACTCTATCGTACACGTACCACCTTTCATAAGCTCATTAAGCACCAGCATGCAAGATATATCCACCATCGACAGCCACGGTCTGACCGTTCAAATACTGATTGGTAGCCGCAAACAATATCGCGCCGGCCATGTCTTCATCCTTGCCAGGTCTTTTGGCGGGAACCTTTTCATACTTCTCCTTCTCAATGTGACTCTTCTGGTCCTGTCCACTCTCGCCACCAGTTGTCATCTCACTAGGGAATACACCTGGTGCAATGCTATTGACTCTAATCTTCAATCCATTGCCCGCGATCTCCGAAGATAACATCTTAGTCAAGTGGATAGCTGCAGCTTTGCTGGCGTTGTATCCGAAGTGATGTTGTGAAGATTGGACGATGCCGGAAATTGAGGAGATGTTAATCACAGTTCCGGAGTATCCGTATTGGTGATCCGAAGCCTTCTGGAGTAGAGGGAGGAAAGCAGTGGTCATGAAGAATAATTGAGGAACGTTAGTACGGTAGGTATTGCACCAATCATCGAATGTCGAACTCTCATCATCAAAAAGATTCTTTTTCATTTCCTCCGCAGTCTTAGCCTCCGTTTGCTGGGTAGCTCCAGAAATTCCGGCGTTGTTGATTAAGATGCAGTGCAGAGACATTTCTCCTTGGATTCAATCTCCTTTACCACACGAGCAATCTCATCTTTGCGGGTGACATCTGCAACGATAGGGATAATCTCTCCCTCAATGTTTTGGCCGTGGTGATTGACAACATTCTCAAGCTTTTCTTCGGTCCGGCCCACAATATATACTTTGGCACCGTTCACGGCCAGTGCTTGAGTTGCCATCAAACCAATTCCTGATCCGCCACCTGTCACGAGGGCCACCTGCTTTATGTGAGTCTCATATTCATTTCAATATAAAGAAGAGGGGAATTACCTTGCCCTTGACATTAAACACATTGCTCAAAAGAAAGTTCTTGTTGGTATCAGACATTTTGGTTGTAGAGGTAGAGAAGTTATTTGAAGATTGTTGGGATCGAGGATTGGAGATGCTTTTCATATGGTTTTGATATGGCGTCATGGAGGAAATGCTCCGGAATGGTATTCTGCAGACGCTTCGGTGGGATGAATTGGCAAATGTCATTGACGTCATTACTGAACGGTGTTTGGGACGACTGATACGTAATAATGCATTTTGTGACATGATTGTGGGTTGTTTCTTCCAGAATATGAGTAAAATGCGTAATATTATCAAAAGAAGATGTAAGAAAGTGTTGATGAATCGAATTAAATGGAGCGAGAGATCAAAAAAGAGAAACTACTAGCAAGGAAAGCACCTCAAATGTATTCACGCCATCAAACTATGATCATAAATGCAGAAAGCAATGAAAACATGCAGATTCCCATAATAAAACGAATCGTCGATAACAATTCCCATCTTCTTGATTTGTATGCCTAAAGTTGGTGATGTCAATACTAATGTGGAGTCTAGACCTGAAGATCTCTCCCCGCATTTTAATCGATGACGTTTAGCGAATGGAGTGTCATCACATGATTGTCACGTTTCTTCTCTTTCTATATCTTTGGTAATTATCACGCTCAGATTGAATGGGAAATAGATATCTGTATGTATATATATATTCCTGTGGGAATAAATCGAATACCCAAACTGGATACTATCTAGGAAACTAGTCTTAGTCGGGCGAATAACCTATCGACATTTGTAACTTTACTGTCAAACTAGTTGGTGTGCTGATAATTTTCTCAAAATTTTGGAGGGAAAGAGAAAATTTGCATCACTATCAGCGCTCTGGATTTTTAATTCATTTTTAAATATGAACTCCGCGATTTCAGGTTTGGTTGTGCTAGACGAGAAGTACTGGATGGACTTGAGTCCAGATTCCCCTTTTACACGGAATGACAAGCGATTTTATTTCTATTTACATTAGCTCTAAGTTTTACCTGTAGTTCAGCACGGCACCAGAAGAAACCTGGCATTGTGAGCGATAAGTATAAGAGAGAGATGCTCATAAGTTCTGGGAAGTGTGCCAAAACAGAAAAAAACTCCGAAATTGCTGGTACTGGCGTGCGGGGCATTGATAAACTCAATAAGAAACTGCATACAGGTCTTTGAGATTGCAGAGATGGTAAGGCTATAAATCACAAGTTCGCAATACTGTAGAGTGCAGGAGCTTTCAAGAAATTCTGGACAAGTAGTCAGGGCTGTGTTGAGTTTTTAGCAGACAATAACAACAATGGAGCGGTTAAGAAGGTTAAAATATTACTTCATTACAATCTCAGTCCTGGTATTATCTAGGAGCATTCAGATGAGGTCAATTGAGTTGTCAAGAACGAACCTACAGAGAGGGAATGAATTGGGTTAACAATCGAGCCTGAGAAGTCTTATAGACAATATTACACTATGAAGTGTTTGGAAGAGCAGCCAGGAGGAAAGAATCCCAGAAACAAGGCTATGCATTAGACAACAACCAAAAGATGACGAGAAAAGGATCTAGGCATATCAATAAAGCTTGAAAAGTGCAATGTTTCTTTGATTTGAGATATAAAAGCATTATTTAATTCAGCGCCTGCGTCTTTTTATCGGACCAAATATTGTATCTCCCGTCCAATCTATATTTCAGACTATTTATCATTAAATCGTCTCAATGATAAACACCCAAATGCCTCCCTCCCATTATCCAACGGTGTTCCTCTTGATATCACATCCTTCACACCCTCACCTTCCAGAACCCAATGATCACTGTCAAATGTATCAATCAAACACCCGACCAACATTCCAACCATCATTGGTGCCATCTTCGATGCTGGGCATGGAAACTTACCTTTCCCAAACGGCATCCATGCTTCCTTGTATTCAGTGTTACCGTTACTCTCCAATTCATTCCATCGTTCAGGTCTGAACTCATTCCCGTCCGTTCCCCATATGTCTTCAGTCTTTTGTATATACTCAACATCGACCGCGAAGATTAAGCCATTGTCTTCATTCTGACGATAAATCCTCTTGGTCGGTGGATACAAACGCAGAGCTTCAAAGACTATGTCTTGAGCTGAACATCTTCCTATTCGTTTGCTAAATTGCTCGGCTGTAATATTCATCAGAAATCGAGAGAGAACATCTTTCCATTCAGCCGCAGTATCAGACGAGTGACGAAACGAAATCTCGAGGAAACAACGTAAAACAATTCTCCACAGCGTTTCGTATGCAGGGAGAAGAACGTTGAGTGGATTCTCATTCTCGTAGTTGGTGGATAGGGATAGCGAATCGAGTTCGCGACGTAGTGACTTCTGCATTGGGACTTGTGAGGGGTGGGTGAAACAGGAACATTTGGATGATATCCAGAGGGAGTTGATGAGTTGGGTTATGCGGATAATAGGGATCTGCATGGGTCTCGTGTATTTGGAGGGAAAGAATTTGAGAAGCACGAATCGAAAACAGAAGACTTGAATTAGTGGACTGAGCGGTGTGATTCCATTTTCAGAGATGGAAGGGGAGATCTCATCGTTGAGAATAGAGAGGACTTTTGACAGGGTGGAGATCGATTCATTGGATGTCTTCAATAGAGATTTAGCTATTGTGACGAATGATCGGTAGAAATCTTGATCGGTTGTTGTAAATGCGTTAGAAATGGAGAAAACGCGCACAAGTCGTTGGTTCGGCCGAGCTCGAGAGGGAAGTGAAGAACTTTTTAAAATCTCCGTCGCTTCTGACAGGTTCCGGATGGAAATAATCTTTTCTTTGCAGGTGCATTTTTGGTAGAGACTTGTGACTGTCGAAATGCAGATGAAATAGTATGCAACAATTGGGGCAGTGATGGAAATAGCTAGCTTAAGCATCGAATCCATCGTTTTCACTCAATCTGAAAGTTTTCTTTCTCTGTGATAGTAAAACTATCACTGTCCTTGACTACTACTTGTAGGCGAATAAATGGTAACTTCCACCCACAGCATCTTGGTCCTCTCAAGCTTCGACAGTTGGCAACTGTCATTGTCTCAGGCGCCTGCATGACAATATGGATGGGCTTGTTGCTTTGTTCGTCCATTCAACGGCCCATAAACAGGTTTGGGCACAGGGTTGGGCAAACCCAGGGTAATCCGGGGTATACCAGGGCAGTATATCACTCTAATTGGCTTTGACCTTTATAGAAAAGAGTGAACAACTCGCAGAGAGGCTCTAATTCCCTGGGTACCCGGAGGCTTTCCTGTGTGGTGCTGCATATAACGGAAGACTGATTATTAGAACTTCAAATATACCAATAATGATCACACATGTCCGATTATATGACTCACTATTGTGTAGTCAGAAATAACTTCAACTTTAGATAATAATCTAGAACAATTATATCCGTATAATTTATATCTCGGTTACTTGGGGTATCGAATGTGCCTGGCAACTATTCTATGGAGTAACCATTCTGTACAAGCCAAATGCCTTGGGTAAGGCACGAGTGCCCATGCCAACTCGTAAATAGAAAGATGCAATCCTTCGCTTCAAAAGAAAACGCGGCAAACGGATGAAATTAGAATTTGCCAGCCTCACTGTCAGATTCTGTAGAACTTTGACGGGCGTTTGGATTCGAACTGGATAGAAAGGTTTTGAAATGGACAACACACGAAGTTTTCTCTTGGGAATGAGCATGATTGGTGATGGAAAAGTGAATTTAATGGTATGGATTGGGATTGGCTCAAGGAAGGTTAATAGTATACCCGTGTGGGGTTAGAAATCGACACAGGTTGAATTCCTAAGAATATATAGGGCATGTTAAGATTGAAACGTTTGAAACCCCACCTATGAACTTTCAAGGTGGTCTTGGTTTTGCTCGTGGTTTGCGGCTCTTAGCCTCGTCCGATAATGTAATATTTATATTCAGTGTGGTATTGCCCCGGATCTCTGCAGCACATAGTATTGGACGAAATTGGAACTGGACAGGTGCGCAGGCAGCCGTATGCATAATGCATTCTTCAAACACTCGATTTCATAGGACGTAATATGTTGATTCTCTAATATTGGAGAGTCAGACTCATGCAACGTGCTTTTGAGGTAGAGAAACAGGTTATAGATGGCTCATGGATGTTAACATACCCGGTTGGGATAACTTGCAAACGGAATCGACTCTGAAGACGAATGACGGATACATAATGGAGACTACATGATGCTATCAATGAAAAGTATTTTCATACGAATAATTTCATCACTTTGTCCATATGGCTATATGACTGAAAGTGAATATAAGATGCACAATCAAGACTAACACTTTTTACGAGAGAGGTTATACGTAAGAGGCTCAGTGACATTGCGCATTATATTTTGGGGTCATGGATTGGAATCTCCATCAAGGGGTGCTTAACATTGCGAAATGACATGATATTACATAAATGGGCATGCGACAATGGGATGTTCTTCGGGACAAAAATAAGATCGTATCTGGCGAGACGGTGTCAAAGTCACATGTTTTCCGCTCGATGTACCAAATGAAGTATGTTTCGAATTAGATTTGATATATAGGCATTTGGAACTTCATTTGAAATCCTTGTGAATAGAATCCATTCGCAACCTCATGAATATATTTCGAACTCAAAATCTTATGTTACATCAAGTAATGCCTCTGTAGAGTATGGCAGGAATAGAACAGTGTTGAGACATAAACATGAGACAAAGACGTAGATATTAACGGCCAAATCATCACCTTGGCTCGAACATTTTCTACATCAAAGTACTAGTTGCAATGTAGGAATGACTATCGCTACAAGCTTGGGATGAACTATTCAGATGACGCTGCAGAGCAATACGCGAAGGTCGACATTTCTTTTCAGTAGTCAACATTTGAAGCGTTCTTTAAAAATATTTGTGGTCTAGTATCCGATATGAAGTTATTATCCTTTGATGATCAATAAACTAGGACTTGAGTGTTCCTTTTCCACTTGGATCATATCTCGTCAAGCCACAGCCCATAGGACAACTCAAAATCAACCATCTCTCCACGATATCCCCGACACTTCCTGATTTCTGCCACATGATACTAAAATTGCCAGCTAGTAGGTATTTTCCACTGCTATCAAAGAAAGCATACTTTAAAGATCGGAGAGAATAATACGGCCCGATAGAATCAATGATTCAAAATGAATCAAACTCCCCTATGATGCCTTCACATGGAAGATAAGATGGAGATATAACAAAACCAGATATATGTGACGCGAACACGGGACAAAGTTCTAGATGTCGAAAGATGCACAACGTGCTTGATTATTAGAATTAGAAATCTTGCTTCGATAACTGATGTAACCAATGCACAGATTTTGCAAGCCACTGTAAAAGAAATACAACATGTCAACTCATCATTACTATATAGAAATTTTACCTTGTGAATCTTGAGTATCGTTTTGGTACTAATAAAACAACCAGCCAGTTACCAGTTATGTGTGCCATAACTCCCCACGATCTTCCAGGGTGCACATAAAGGGGAAAATCCAGACTCGCTTATCCTTCGGGGCCTTTATCGCTCCCCTGAGTATGTCTCTCCTCGAACTTCGGCAAACAAAAAGATATCATTTTTACCTGTCATATTTTGATTCTCCAAACACAAAGAATTGATAAAGCCGACACACTCAAAATCTTCTGGTGTTCGTGATTCTTGCCCTGTATGGTGTTGCTTACTAGACCTCACAATTAAAGTTTATGTAGGCCAACACTCCAATCGCACTCTTATCTCACACTTTCCAATTATTGAAGCTTATCATTTTCAATATCCCCACGTAGCAATTACCCCAAGAGACCCCCACAGAGGCATATCGCCGATCGAACAACATGGTAACATCGTGAAGTGACATCGTTGGAACCGTCAATTCCGAACTTCAATGCACTTGCGTGGTCCGAGATGATACATCACATTTCGCTCTTTTCGTCGTCGCGAATTTCTTCTTCTTATCTGAACGTGTGCATCGGCTACCGTCGTGTTACCTAAAAGGTCCTTTTTCCGATTTTACCCCATGATGGGAAAAATTGAAATGGGTGTTCACGCCGTACAAGGCGGTTTGCGAGGATCCACGCTAGCTGAATTCTTATCATATCCATGGTATCACCAGGATCCCGTTCGTATGGCCATCTTGCTTTCGTACCTGATTAAGCTCCGTATCGATTGTGCTTCATCGGGGATGTTCAATAATTATTTATTCTTGAATTAGATTTTTTCCCCCTTTAATGTTCATGTGATTTCGCACGATATTGGGAGCAAAATACATAGATCAACGCGAAAATTTCATGTCATCAACGTTCATCTTGTGCTTACAGTGCCGAAGAGAAGTATTCACCCACGAAACATGAATAGGTTCGGAAACGCCCCGAATATGGCTCACGCACGACATATCTAAGACCATGAATTACGCCCCACGCTATCAAGACCAGCATGATGTTCTACGAGAAATACCAAGAATCATGATATTATCAGCCGTGTCTGTCGGAAGGACGCGAATTGAAAATGTCCATCTTCGTATCTCCCATATTTCCATAAACGACAATGCTAATTGAGTGGACGATCCGCGCCAAGCAAAAGACTTCTAGTATTTCTCCAGGAATTGGAATCGCGGGGTCGATGGCGTTTGATCAATGGTACGGAAGATACATTAATTGTGAGGCGCTTGAATCCTGCTCTCCTCAAAATCACTCGCTCCGAAGTCACACGGCGCAAAATGATCAACATGCTGTACTGCACGAATTACAAAAAATAGGTAGATAGAAGATACGTTGCAAGATGAAGCTCGTTTGAAATAGTGTTGTGGTTTCTCTTCGGATGACTTTTACCCCAGATCTTCACATTCGCCTCATAAAATTATGGAGTTGTTCTCCCGGAATTTCGGACCGTGCAAGCATGTGCTGTTTTTTTTCTATGTTGGATATCTGATTGATGTTATTGAGTGGAATACTTTTAGACTTTTTAGAAAGGACAGTCAGTAACACATGATGAAAAGATCGTCAGTTTTTTTCTTTCCTCAGCAGATAGTTTCACTATTCTTGTCCTTCGGCACAAAAAATTCAAGCAGCACTGCAGAGCGCAGAAAAATTGACCGGCATGATTCCATAATTAGAGTGTTTGTCTATCACGACATTGATTTTCTCAAACACACATACATACTACCTCTCATCCGGTCGATCTCGGAATTACAGCTGTCCTAAAACTTATCTGGCCATTTCAAAGTTTATTGGTCTACTTGTCTCCCATCGTACCATGTTTGCTTCGAGCAATAAGAAATAAAGAGCAAACAAACAACCGGATCATATTCCAATAACGATTAGGCTT